GGGAGGGAGAGGGGGAGGGAGAGACATATTCTTCCAGGCCATGCACCCAGTCAGGTGACTGTTCTGACTAGATTTCACCTTTCAAAAACCCCACTTCTGAAAACATGAGGCATTAGATGGATATTTCAGACTTAAATCGTAACAGTTGTAATTGATATTTTCCAAAATATAAGGAAACAAACCACATGATTTTGACTGCACAATTAAATATCATAAAATACATTCTGTCATGCTGTAATTTTTAGAATTATAAGTGCCCAGGATTTAGCTCAGTGGTGCTGCTGCCTGCCTCTCAAGAGCAAGGACCCGAGTTTGATCCCCATTACCAAAAAGTAAATAAATAAATAAATAAATAAAATTTAAAAAAACCCAAAAAAGCAAAAAACAGATATCCTAATGAGAGAATTTTATGTTTTAACAGTGTTCAAGCCTGGAAGTTCAAGTTCAAGTTGCCAGCATATTTTTGTTTTGGTGAGTGCTTTCTTCCTAGCTTGTGGTTGGGCGCATTATCATTCTGTCCTCATTTGGTAAAGAAAGAAAGAGAAAGCTCCCTGGAATGCTGTCTTGTAAAAGAATTAATCTTGTCATGAATGTCTCAACCTCATGACCTCTTCCAACTCTAATTATCTCTCAAAGACACTGTATCCTAGTAATGTCACATTAGGAGGTATGCTTTCAACTTGAATTGTGGGAGAATTTAATCTTTCAATCATCTCTAAATATCCAGAATCTCTTCATACATTCAAGTACACAGTAAAATTTCAGTGATTACCCAATCATTTTCAGAAAGTTCTCTCTCTTTAAATCTATTTTCAACCCTGCTGATATCATTACTAAATATATGTGAAGCAATGGATTCAAGACCTTCTTTGTTAGTGTTGATCTTTCCTTCTTTACCCTGAACAATTATTCTTCCTCCAAGGAACCTAAACCTGAATGCTGTTTCAATTTGCCCTGATAATTTTAATTTTTATCTGATAGCAACATATGTAGTTCCATAATTACAGAAAATACTCATTTTGTTTCATAAATAAATGTAAGTACAAGTATTTGAAAAGAATTTTTCAAACACATTTCAAATTTAATAATGTCAGAAATTGTGACACAATTACACTTGGAATATCAGACACACGCACAACATCTCAATAATTTAGTGTTAAGAAGAAAAATGTCCTTCCTTTTTCTTCAAATAATATCTTTTTATTTTCATCTTTTTCTAAGCTGTGCTTGCAAAATGACAAGTGAAGTGAAGAATTAAAGCAATTATTCACTTCACTCATATTTAATAGACTCTCATTAAATAAGAACAGATGGTGTATATAGAAATAGTCGCTCGAAGGCTATGTTCCTCATCTGTAACGTGAAAAAAGATTATTTTGCAATGTATTTATTTTAAGAGTCCTCATTTCCTCTGACAGATCAGTTTATTTAAAATGGTAAATTAAACATACAGCTTAAAGTTGCTTTATCTTTTAAAGTAATACAGAATACAAACTCCCAGCAACTTTGCAAAGTCTAGTGCAATTAGTAGAGTAGCCCCCCTCTATCCACAAAAGACAGTCTTCTAATTCCTATGCATATGCTAAATTTAATTTATAAATCATGCCTTTCAGGAGAATATGAACAATATTCAGTAATAAAGCAGGCTAGGTACCAAGTGAACAATTATTCACCAAGTGAAAAAAAGAGTGCATGTATGCATGTGGTTCAGACTTTCATTTTAGTTAGGTGATAGTGCAAGGCTTGAGGCTTCCCTTGGCCTCATTTGATTGGCTTGAATTCACACAGAACCTAGAAAAAGCTTGTCTATTGGGCTGTCCAGATGTGACACCACAGGGAAATGAAGAGGACTTCGCTGTAAGTGGTATCAACAGTTAGACTTCAAAAGTGATTCCAACTCTCTAGTACAGTAAATATGTAATGGCATTAATTCTTTTATAGAATATCTTAGAGATATATTATGAATTTTTATAACCTTCACACTTTTTAATATAATCATAATTTTTACATACAATTATATCATGAATGATTTCAGTGAAATAATTATAAATATTGACACAGGTTTTATACTTGGTATTATTGTAGCATTGTAGAATTAAATAACCATGAAAATAGATTCTATTGTTTCAAATTTGCAATAAACATGTGATATTTCATATTTATGAATTATTAGTGCATTTTTGGTGTACTGGAAATCAAACTCAGGAGCTTGTGCTTGTGAGACAGGCACAGTGCCACTGAGCTAAATCCCTGGCCCCTAAATTATTAGCTGTTCATACTTAATGAATTGAACACTAACCAGACACTTAATAATTATGTTACATAAGGGTAGTTTTAAAGAAGATCAGATTATAATTATAGATCAAAGATGATTGCCCACGGGTCCGGGTAGCTGGCCTTTGTTGCGGGCACCACCATCGCCACTGGCCCAGCGCCAGTGAACAAGGTGAGACATGGAGAAAGCCACTTGGTGGAGACATTGCAGCTCCCCCTGCCCACCTGGTCGCAGGCACTGCCATATCCACCCCAGACCCAGGAGGGGGCGCTGCTGAGCCAAGCCCCTCCCCCCATCCCCTGAATGTGCCAGTCCGTGGACCTACTCCGCAGAGACATAGCTGGTTATAAAGGACGATTTTCTGAGCTCCCAAATTCGAACATCTGTAACATCTGTCGCAGGGGAAACCTGTGACAAAACTGGAGTTCAACCCTGCAGGAGGTTGGGGAGTTCAAATTGGTCCTTGTGACCTGAGGTCAGTTTGCATCAGGGGGTTCTGCGTTCAACTAGATGAGATAGGGGGATTTGGTTCTGCACATGGCTTCACATGATGTGTATAACGACAGCAGAAATATAGACTGAAAGAAGCCCTTCAAAGTCATTTTTTTTCCTCTTCTTTCTTTTCATCATTCCACTCTATAAATTCTTTTTTCTGTCCTGTTTTACCAACTCAGGTTTCACCTGTTTTCACCAACTCCTTTTCTGTTCCTGCTCCTGCCCTAACTCAGATTTCTTCTTTTATAATTTTTTCTTTTTTATTAATGTTCTTTTTTTTCCATCATTGAGCCTCACTCAAAGGTCGGTAGTTTCAAGGAAAAGTGAGCCCCTATAGCTGGTGAGGGGATATGTTCTTGTACTTATACTTGCACTCTGTCTATCCCTTTGGAGTTTTACAGTTTCCTAAAGATTGTGTGGTCACTCTGTGTCCTCTGGCTTCACTTGAAACCTTCTTCAGTTCTTTTATTTGTTTACTCTTCCCTTCCTTATTAGGCCTAGGCCCCATCCCAAATAGTAAATATACCATGTTAAGGAGTTTGTCCACTGCAAACATATTTTGGGCTGCTTCTTGATTTTAATTTAATCCGCATGTTTGGGGGTGATGCATTGATGACTATCACAAGAGGTCAATTTGCAAGAGGTGATAGATTCTGTTGTGTTGCCGATTGTATCGATTGGGACAAGGGTTAGGGATTGATTGGATAAGTTGTTTTCTCTGATACTGTGGAAGTGAGAATGTTTATGAGTAATTAGAGAGTGGGGGATGAAACACAATATCAGGACGATTTAATAACCCAGAGATTGAATCAAGGACAACTCAACAGCAAAAATAAAAATGAGAAAACACTTAACCAAGATACAAAGACAGACTTCCAGATCACCAATGGCAAACTGTAGGGCAAAGGAGGATGAAAAGTCTAATAGTGAACCTCTAGGACACTCAGAACTCACAGCACAGGAAGTAACAAAACAGATCAATCAAGCTCTAGAAAAATTCAAAACAGAAATAATTTCCCAGATAACCATAGAGATGGTGAACAAAATGAAAGTCATGATTCAAGACTCTAGAACAGAAACTAACAACAACAACAACAAAAAAAAAATAAATGACCTTAGGACCATAATAGAACCATGAAGGCCCAGCATAAGACAGAAATGGAAACAATGAATGCCCAGCATAGGAAAGAAATGGAATCCATAAAACTGATTCATACAGATATCCAGGAGATTAAAAACTCTATTGAAAGTGTATGCAACAGAATAAAAGATTGCAAAGATAGAACCTCAGATGTAGAAGATAGAATAGCAGACAGTGACCATGAAAAGAGAGGTCTCTTAAAAACAGTAAGGGATCATGAGAATTCAATACAACAACTCTTGATGATGCAAAGAAGAATAACATAAGACTGATAGGAATCCATGAAGTACCAGGAGAAAATGCAAATGACTTTAAAAAGCTGTTCACAGAAAACTTCCCAAACAGAGGGGAAGAATTTGATATAAAGATAATTGAGGTATATAGGACTCCAACTAGCCACATTTAAAAAAAAAAAAAATGTATACCTAGACTTATAATAATCAAGATCCCAGAAACTCAACAGAAGAAGAAAACACTACAAACATTAAAGAAACAAATCACACAAAAAGTAAAGCCCAGCAGAATCACAGCAGACTTTTCAACACAAACCCTCAGGTCAAGGTGAGCCTGGAATGAGGTACTTCAAGTCCTAAAAGAAAACAACCTCCAACCAGACTGAAGTATCCTGCAAAACTCTCTCTCAAAGTGGATGGGGAAATAAGATACTTCCATGACAAAGAACACCTGAGAAACTTCATGAATAAAAAACCAGCACTACAGCAAATTCTAAACAATATCCTAGAAAAAGACAATGAAGATCATAATACCATGAGACCCAGCAGAGCAAACCAAATAGTCAAGGCAAGAAACTAAAAGGAGAGGGGGAAAAATTATAAAGAGTCAACAAAAAGACAACAACATGACAATAAGAAGTCAGTACATATCAGTTATAACCATCAATGTCAATGGCCTCAACTCACCAATCAAGAGAAATAGACTGGCACACTGGATTAAGAAGCAAAATCCAGCAATATGTTGTATACAAGAAACACACCTAACACAAAAAAGAAGCCCATAGACTGAAAGTAAAAGGGTGGAAAATAATTCTTCATGTGAAAGGAGCCAAGAAAAAAGCAGAGATAGCAATCTTATTTGCAGACAAAGTACATTTCAAACCAAAACTGATCAAGAGAGACAAAGAAGGCCACTACATTCTTGTAAAGGGAACAATTCAAGAGGTAGAGATGACACATATAAACATATATGCACCAAATATAAATACCCCAACTATGCAAAACAAATACTAAGTAACATGAAAAACCAAATAAGCACTAATACAATTGTAGCAGGGGATCTAAATACCCCACTATCACAAATAGACAGATCACCTAGGCAAAAAATCAAAGAAATACTAGAACTAAATCAAGCTTTTGAACACATGGACTTATTAGACAACTATAGAGTGTTCTACCCCACAAAATCAGAATATACATTCCTTTCAGCTGCAAACGGGTCATTCTCCAAGATAGATCACATATTAGCTCACAGAACAGGTTTAAATAAATGCAAAAGAATTGAAGTTATTCCCTGTATATTATCAGATCACAGTGCAATAAAGCT